GAGGGCTCGCTGCCCACCCCGGGGAGGATCGAGAAGGTAACTCCTCGCCGCACGGGCGGCCACTCAGAAAAAACAGAGAGGGCGGTTAGCGCAAGCACACGGTGAGCGAAAGGACCGGGTGGGCGTGGCGCGGTGGGCCCTGAGGTCAGGGAGGGAGCTCGCTGGGACGCAGGTGCGCTCAGCGTCCAGCCTGCAGCTGAAGGGCAGCCGTCCAGATGTGCAGGACCCGAGTCCTGGGATGCCTGCGTGGAGGTAGGTGTTAGGAGTGAAGGAGGGGAATGAAATCCGTCTGCTTTGGTCTGTGGTTCGGCAGATCAAAACCGACAGCCCCAGGGTTAAGAAGGAGGTGGAAGCCCTTCCGTGTGATGAGCTATATCAGGGCTCCTTAGTGATGCGCAAAGGCGATCAGCTGCACGCAAGTGTGTTTTTCCGCCTCTGCTCCGTTGTGTGCTTGGTATTTTGTCACGGGCATTGGGTGCTGTGTTTGTTTCGAAGCCGGTTTCTCTATAGATGTGTTTCTTCTCCTGCTGTCCCTAATGCGCTACAACTCTTTGTCTCCCGGCTCGTGCAGGAGACAGAATGTGGGTGCCGGTACTGGCCAGGGCCCGTTGAACAGTTGAGGCCGATATAAAAAGAAGCTGCTCTGAAGTGCTCAAGACTGGAGCATTGGGAAAAAAAGCATTATATGAGCTCATGCACGTTGGAGTTGCAGTTTGTCCTTTAAAGGACTTGCGATTCCACATTCCAAATGGGTTATATATTCTGTGTGAATTAACATTCTTCACACCTCGCTGAAATGCTGTCACCATCGTGATGCTGCAAGTCGTGAGGCAAATTTAGGTCTGCCTTAAATAGAACTTATTTGCTAAGGGGCTTCTTACTGCCTCGTAGCCTGATCTTGTCAGACCTGAGGAGCCAAGCAAGGCTGGGCCTGGTAGTTATTGGGGTGGGAGAGCAGGTTGCTGCTGTTATTAGTGATGGTGGACCTGTAGGTGGCGCTCCTACCTCGGCATTGGCATTTCTAAATCAATGTGTGGCAGCACTGTGCTTCAGGGAGGTACTGTTCTTCAGCCGATCTTCAATTAAGATCCCCACTAATTGTTCATTAAAGATCTTCATGACAGTGGGCGTAAGAGCAGGGGTGGTTCCACTCTGGGCTTGCACAGTCTGGCCTCTCTAATGGGTGAACAAATAACTCGCTTCTCCACCAGTGTAGGTGCATGAGAAGGGTTCCTATACGTTAAAGACATTTGGAACTCTTCAGGATGAAAACCCATCTATAAAAGTAGTTAACAATTAGTCTTGACTCGTTTGTGCCCTAAGAAGCCACGCTCTGGGCTCACAGTGTGTCACTGTGGTGCAGAAGGACGTGTACAGCCCTTGGTTTCTTCAGATGCTGAAAAGCCCTTAGCCTCCTTCTGATGAGAATGGCCACACTTCATGTTCCCTGCCCTAGTGTGACGCGTTTTGTGTCATAAACTTGAGGAGAAAACTGATTTAAGTCTGCACGGGGGTGGTGATGTGTATAATATGTTCTTTATGGAGGTAACACCCAGATGATTTAAAGAAATGCATTCCCCTTTGAGAGATGCAGGATTTAGCCGTCCCTGTGGTTCCTGTGGACTTGCCTTTCTAACAGATGTACTGTCCAAGTGAGTCAGCTGAATTTCCGTGAGTGTGCATTGCCGACCCTACACTTTTCTTAGATCAGGCTGATCCCAACTCCCATCTGGAACCTGGGAGTGCGGCGTGTGTGTTTCTTCATGATGTAATGCGTGCCTGGAGCCAGTGCTTTGTCAGTAGCTGGTTTTAGTCATATCGCGTTTGGATAGCTGTGTGTGATGACTTCGAGGAATGCATTTCAGTTCAGGCAAGCCTAGAGGAAATTAGAGCAATGGGTTTTTGGTCGTTGCTTTTTAACAGAACAGGTATGGAGAGCTGCCATGACTGTAGCTGTCTGAGCTAGCTATTATTTATGGGCACGTAGTTCCCTGCTGTGTGTACAGTAGGTCCAAATCGCAAATTCCTGTCAGAATCCGACACCCCGCCTGGCTGGGTTCGCAGGCAGATTCGAAAAGAGGGTAAGTGGAGATCCAACTCTCGTCATTGTGAATTGTGATCGGGAGATACTGATCCTGTTCAATTAGGGAAAAAAAGCCCACAGGAGACCATATTGAGCTTGAGCAGTTAGGATTGCCATGCCTGTGGCTGTAAAAATGGATTTATTTTCAGAGTGAAAGATCTGCTGTGGACATGAAGACGTCAGTGCCACCCTTGCTGCTTAAAAGTCGACCTCTCTCCAGCAGAGGACCTGTGCTGACATCAGCGAGCTCTTCTTTTTGTTCCGAGTTCATGTCTCGCTCTGTTCGCTGGAACGTTTTGTTTTTTTTCCAGGTCAGCATTGCGTTGGGCGATGTGTAAGAGGCGGTGTGGGATTTTCGACGTGCAGTAGCCGTAGATCTGTCCGAGGCTGAGGGAGAAGCGTTCGGCTTCCGTGCTTGATTAAAACGCAGTCGGGCTGCTCGCGAAGCAGAGGGTTTGGCTGGGACGGCAGCCAGAGAAATGCCGAGTC